TTCAAAAGTTACAGCCCTTTGAATTTTCTTTCGAATTGGTTTCTAGTCTATAACTTTTGATTGAGAAGTCTGATCGAAAAAGTACGAATTGTTTTGGATTCTACGCACCAAAATTAATAAGAAAAATTGTTTTCCCGAGAAATTTTGGTGCAGTCGATTTTTGGTAAAAAAGGAAGGTTTTACACTGCCTTTTTTTGAGGCCCGAAAAAAAATTGTCTCAGATCGACCCGGAAAAAAAATTTTCTTATAGAATGTGGCCTGTAGAATCCATAATTTCACACAGTTCCAAGATTGGACTACTAGTTCAAAAGTTACAGCCCTTTGAATTTTTTTTCGAAATTGGTTTCTAGTCTATAACTTTTGATTGAGAAGTCTGATCGAAAAAGTACGAATAGTTTTGGATTCTACGCACCAAAATTAATAAGAAAAAGTGTTTTCCCGAGAAATTTTGGTGTAGTCGATTTTTGGTAAAAAAGGAAGGTTAAGTATTCAAATACTATGCGAAGTATTCGAATACTAAATATTTGTGAAAGTATTTGAGTTACAAATACAAATACTGCTTCCATAAAAGTATTTAATTACAAAGTATTTGAATACTTTAAAGGATTTGAATACTAAAAAGTATTTACAAAATCGAATACTGCCCAGCTCTGAATAATAGCAATTAAAATTTGTTCAGTGTGATTGGCAAAGGCGTGAATAACAAACTGGAAGTTCAAAACAATAATTGAAGATTCGCACGTTTAATCTAACCACCTTATTTACCTTGTTCCTCTTCCATATCTCCTCTTGTGGAGAAGCAATTTCATCCAAAAGGGTAAGGGCAAAAATTAGTAAAAATTACAGTACATTTAAACACTTATCAATTTGATAAAGATCAGAAAAAGTTAAGGTCAATATGACATCAAAAAGTCAAAGATGTGTTCAATTTGAAAAAAAACAGTGGAGTGGAACGAACATTTCTGCGTGAGTGGAAGAAAATTTTAGTTTTGTTACACAATTGAAATCCGATCTTCTTAGAAAAATTAGCAACTGGTAAGTCTCTATGTCCCTTTGTGTATCATCCCTGAGCTAGTGGGTCGCGCGGGTGTCGGATTTTGAAAAAAAAAGCAGTGCAGAAAACAGATTTAAGGAGCTTGAAAGTCCATAATATTTTCAAAAAGTAAAAAGTATAATTCAAGAATCCATAGAAAGAGTTTAAATTACAATAATTAATTAATTAAATTAATTAAATTTCTCAGCATGTAATGGTTTTAAATACTTGTACTTTAAATAATTGTATTGAATCAAAGAATTTAAACCAATTCTGGCATTAATTAGCAAAATAAGACCGACAGACTGTAAAAAAATGTATAGGTATTGTACTTTTGAGTCTGTTTAAGCTAAGATGCTACTTTTAAATTTCAAATTCCTTTTGTTTCGCCTAATAAAGTTAAATATATAAAACGTACGTGCTACTCCTAAGTCTGCAGTCGTAAAAGAATGTAAGATTCTCCGATTTGGAATAATTGAGGTTTCTGACCGGTTTAGTATACTGCAGTTTGCTACAATGCGGAAAAATCGTAATGTAGCGTCGCTTGGCTATTTATTTGCACACAATATTTCCCGAGAGTTCGTGGAACGTGAAATTTATATAATTTTTTTGTCGTAGTATTAAAATTTCGTGAGCTGAAAACAAACACAAATTCTTGTTTTGAATGTAAATTAGGAATGCGAGTACACAGCACTCAAAATCATTCAGGGAGAGCTTTGAAGCAAATTATCTCCCTTTAGAGACCGTTCGGTAAATTGTGTTGACAGACATTTTCGCCACACTTAATTCATAAGAGTTGTTACGGTGGTCATTGCACCAAGTAGACCGTCAAATATAATCAATAACATCATTTTCTCAATAAAAATTAGTAAAAACAATTTCGAAGCGATTTTTTAATAACGCTTAGAGCTCGTAAAAATCTCTTCGAGTTTCGTATATTAATTAAACACACTTAAATATCATTAGTGCTTTTAATTGCCTATTAAGGGCTCTAACGTCCTTTGATGCGAGGGCACCACCTTTACAAAAAAACACATTAAGAGAAGATATGGTAACTCAAGAAGGATTTTAAATACCCTTGAATACCAATAAATCCCCTTAAAGGACCGTAACCGATCTCAAATTCTCTGAAAGATGTTTACAGTCTTTTAAAAGCTCGTATGAAACAGTGAAAACTTTGAGACCGTGCTAAATCTAAGTTTTCCAGGTTGTACTTCAAATTTTGCCATTTCATCGAAATCCTTCGATTTTTCTACTTCTCACATTATTATGCTTCTTTAAATTCATAAACCAAATTCTTGATTTTGCGATTAGGTATTCAAACTCTTCTTTCAATTGTTCTGAGCTACAATTTTATTTTTTTTAATTATTTACATTATTCAAACTCGTTAGATTATTCATTTTCAAACTTTTTTATTGAAGAATTAGTACCTGAAGAGTATTTACTTTTTATAAATTTTAAACCATAACTTTAACGATTTCACTATTATAACCTCAAAATTTGACCGTTTTCGAATTTAGTTTTTTCAAAGAAACTAAATCGCACCGACGCGCGGCGTCGGCACGGCGGTTTAGTATTGAATTAAAGAACAGACTAAGATCTCTTCCACTTTCACATCATTTTTTAGGTATTTTCTCGAAACAAGAACATTTTTGAGGGATCTTTTCTAAACAAATTGTAGCTCGGCAAATCTCTACTGGTACCAAAAAAACCAGGAAGCCCAGGTTGCGGTTATGCCAGCAACAGGAGGGTCGTCATTTCGAACATTTATTTTAAGTTAGATTTGCTAACCCCATTGTTCGCCTATCATTGTCACATTTAGTAGTCTTAAATCTGCCCAACACTTTTTAATAAACATCATGTCAACCATCAAATTAAAAATGGCGGATTTGGGTTCGGAAAATAGCGTTTTTTCTAAAAATTATCATTATTATCATTTCGGCTTATGTTTTCTCTGATATTTTCCTATGCAATGTGTGGTTTTTTGCTATCAGTAGAAATTTTCTAGCTTCAGCTATCTAGAGGCATAAATAAATAATAAATAAATTTGATTAGGGGGTGAGGGGGGTCATTTGAAATTTTAACAAATTAAAATCGTTAAAGTGAAGGGTATAATATGTGACATAAAAAAATAAGTACCTACTCTTGAAGTACTTCTCACACCTTTAATAAAATAGGGGGTGTTGCATTAAAAAAACCTAAGCTTGATGCGCCACTGGAATACGGCACGCCACTGGTGACCAGAAATTAATTTGCTCCTACATTTTTTTGATACTTTTATCCTCGTAAAATGTCTTTAGCATGCTATACAAAATACCCTTAAAAATTGTTAAAAGTCTTTAAAGACTCTTAAGGACCTTTAAAGGCTCCTAATGTGGTAGCTTTACACCACTAAAAGGAGAAAAAATACTCTAAGAGAAAATGTTCGACTTCTATACCAATAAAACCTATAAAAACTGAAAGCCTTTGAAAGTTTCTACAAGTAGTTTAAAGGCTATAAATAGTATAATAAGATACAAGTGTATAATCAAGTCTTTAAAGCACGCGCAACGAGTTTAAGGGCACGACGCAAAGCGGAGTGCCTTTAACGTTGCAAGTGCTTTAAAGACCAATTATACACGTGTATCTTATAGTATTTTTTATTATACCTGCAGTATAATTTAAAAGTAGGAAATTCAATGAAATCATATTGACGTTATACTCGAATACATGTCTAATTAAGTGGGCTGGGTGTTCGTAATTTCACGATTGCCATGGAAATGTCACTTGACGTTTGCTTATAAAAATCGTCGTCTTTGTGAATAAAACGATTTCCGTTGAAAAGGATAATACACCGTCCATTAAATCGATTGTTGTAAAATCTAAACAAACGTTGGTAGGTGTAAAATCCAACTCCAGTAAAGCCTATTATAAAGAATATGAAAAGTTGTTTCCATGGATGAATAGGAAGTTACTTACGAATACAGTCTTAAATGCATCCATAATGCTGGCATATATGAAGGAAATGTCAAAGGTATTTAAATCTTCTATATTTTGGTGCATTCATTCAAAACTTTAACAATGCTGCGATTAAAAAGTGGAACAGATTTGGAAGCATACCCTAAATTACGCGCGTTTGTGAAAGCTTCAACCAAAGGATAGGTACAAGCCAAAGAAATGTTCTGCATTTACAGAAAGCGACTTAGGAAGATTTTTTATTTCGCCCAAATCACAGTTTCAAAAGTCATACCTACTTGAAGTATCGTTACTTAGCAACTTTAAAGCACGTGTGTTTTAAAGGCCTTTTTTCGCACGCATTTGAGTGTTTAAAACGGAGATTGTGATTCAGGTATAATAAAAAAGTTTTTACGTACTCATAAAGCTTTTGGTTTTTAAAAACCTTCATAAACCTTAAATTGTCTTGAAGCGGCATTAAAAGGTGTCTTTTGGATAGCAAAGTTTAACTTAACACCCTAAACCTTCCTAAGGACAGATAAAGCGTTGTCCAACCCCTTAAGAACTGTTAAAAGTGGGATTGCGTGGAATTTTCTTAAAATATGAATATCTTGAAATCTGGATAGTGGTACCATACGACTCTACATTATATCAGTTTCCCATATTAGCGATTCGAACATTTGCATATACGGAAAGATTGATGTTATGTAAATAATATTAGTTTCCCTCTATTACAGTTTCAAGAACCCCTACATCAGCACGTGCTGAGTGTAACAATTACTTGTGAATCGTCAAAGGGTTTCTACAACTTAAGATGGGATTCAATCCTTGAATCCCCAAATACCCAATTATTCCGAACTACTGTGCCCGTTGAACCTAATATCGGTATTTAAACCTATTGACCACGAAAATCTAATTCGCCCGAAATTGTATACGGATCTACCACTACCCGGTTTAGCATGAATACTGAAACTTATCTTCGTAGTAATTGGTGGGCCCACAAGCTAATAATTTAAATACGAAAGCTCTCACCTAGTGGATTGTAGCATTGCCTTTCAAATTTGGACCCGATGGAGACGCTGAGAAGTCCGAGGATTGCCTGCGGAAATTCGGTGATGAGGAATAGAAATAAAACCGCTAACAGCATTCTTGTGGTCCGATCGGTCTGTTGCTCCTTGTTGTGCCGTAAGGTTTTCGGGACGTTCACTTCTGCCGTTAATTTTAGATTCATCGCGTTCTGACCTAGTAAATTTCTCCTTCTCCGTTTCGTTTCTAGTAACGCGGAGATAATTCGCTGGGAAAGTATGGTGAGGAGAATGCAAGGGACCAGTTTAATTACTACTCCGTAAACCCAAAAGCTGATCTCTTTGAAGTGGCCGTAGTCCAACACGTAAAGGGTGGCGTTGTGTTTCTCCCCCGCGTACGTTGGCAGTTCATTTTGTTGTATTATTCTTCCAAGTTCGCTGACTGATTTTACTTGCTCGGTGATTTTTAGGGACACGAATAGGGGCAAGCACACTAGTGGACACAGTAAGTAGGTGAGGATGATGGTGACTTTAGTTCGATATGCATTGCACCATTCCCGATTACTTTGGGAACTTGAGATTATTATGTATCGCCAAATCGCTAGCACTACCGTTAAGCAAATTGAGATAAAATGGCAAACTTGTGCAAAGAGAGCGTGAAAGGCCATAAAGATGGCCCAACCGTACGAAAAGTAGCTTGCTGTGTACCTCGCGTTTGGATCGAAGTACACGTGGCAAGAAAACGGAATGTACTCGAGCATTACCAGTAAATCTGCAACCGCTAAACCTGTCAAAATGGCATTCGTCGGAGATCTCATTTCCCTCCTGCTGAGTACGCAAATATTCAGAATGTTCGCGATTGACCCAAACACGCACACTAATATGCTTAAATAGCCATGTACACTTCTGTAACTCACGGAGAAAGTTACAAGATCGCAGTAAGTTGTGTTATCATCCAACAAACTTTTGTTGGCGATGTTTTGGGTCTCCTCGTAGAGGAGTGTTGCATTTTCTGAGACGTTCATTTCGAAACTCGCACGTTATTTTTAAGAAGTTCGCTCATCTCAAACTTTCGGTCACATGCACTTTGCGAACAAAAAGTCAAAAAGTAAGAGGAAGCGGGCCATTAGAGAAAGAGCCTTTGACATTGGCTGGCGTACGTAAATCCGGCGCATCAGATGAGACCGCCGACGACGTTACCTACACAAGCGCCAACACCGAGCTGAGCGTCGAGACGACACAGTAACCGTGACTTCCACAATTTATCTTTGGCGCATGCGACCCAAAATATGCATTGCACTGCTCTCAAGTTGAAAAAAAAAACAACGTAGTAATTGAATTTTTAAAAATACTGCCGCCCACATTTAGCAGCGGGCTTCTGTCGCATTAACTTATTACTCCATAAAGCAATTTTACGGCATCCGCCGATCTGATTATCTCATCGTTTTCCACTTCTTTGGCCTCGAAGATTTTTCTGTCGAGCTTTCGCAGCTTTGAAAGGTCATCGAATCGGAAATTCGCACCTGGGAAATCAATCAGTATTATTTTCACCATTGAATAACGAATTGCAGCAGGGTTGGTTGATTACGGTTGTTGAAACTTTAGAGCAGTGGTTCTCAAAGTGGGTGCCGTGGCACCTTGGGGTGCCGCAAGCACTTCATATGGGTGCCGCGAAATTTTTAAATATTTACTTAATAAGCTTAAAATTACATAAATTAAAAAAGGAATTAAAATAATTGTAAAAAATGAATACACGTTTTTTTATTACAATTCTGTTTTTTAGTTTCTATTTTATTTATTTCTATGATTCATAATTTATTAATCAATCATATGCTGGTATTGCATTACATCAGACTTTCTCAATCTTATAACTTATATTTGGGATGCATATAGGGTGGTATGGGGAATCGAAAACGTCCTATTTTGGTGTTGATCCGTAACCATCTTCAAGGTTGTTGAGGGTGTCAAAATTTTAAAAGTCATAACGGCTTGAAAAATTTTTTTTAAATTTTGTTCACATACACTGGCCAAAATGGCTTCTTAAAAACCCTACAAAAAAGTTCATTACAATTTTTTTGTGAGTTCCTTTGTTTTTGAGAAGTTTTGAATTGAAAAGTTAAACTATTTATTTTACTTCTCTAAATTTCATTTTTCTCTAAAAGTAAGCATCAGAGTGAAAAATGTCAATTATAAAAAAGATATGTCTTGATGAGGTCTACAAAAAAAGCTTCTACACTTTCGTCGGGTTCAAAATAAAGGCGCTAAAGGGCATTTTCTAAATGTTATACTATGGCCAAAGATAATTGCAACGACTATTAAAGGTAGTCGGAAAGTCAAGTCAGGAGTTTACCTGACAACTAGCTTTTGTGTTTAGAAATTTTTTATACACTTATAATGCAAAAGTTTCAGCTTGATAGTATGTACTATTTTCGAGATGCGATAAGGGGGTGATGATTATCTAACCCATTAAATGGCAGAGCGAGTTTCTTTTACAGTTTTTCTTTCTATTTAATGGGTGAATTTTGCTGAAAATTTCAACTTGTTTGTGTGTACGGTCATTGACAAATGTAATGATCGCCTAATAGGTAAACTCTGCAGCATAAGCAATCAACAAGCCTATCACATCGGACTCCGTCGGTTTTTTAATTTGTTAGTTCGCATTTCCAAGTTGCACAATATATCCAAATGTTGGTTCGGTATGCTGCAGGATTTACCTATTCGGCGATCATTACTTTTGTCAATGACAGTGTACAGTTTACGAGGAAGAATAAAGGGGTTGTTTTTAGTTAATATTAAATATTATTAGACACATTTTCCAATAGATGTCAATTTCTTATTTTTGCCTCTATATCTTTTTTTTTTAATCTTTATTGCAAATTTACAATCTACTTCATTTTGAGTATTAAGTAAATGTGATATATGACTTTGACTTGGAAGGGGAAGTGTCCACTGACAATTCACCTTTTAGTTCACTATCACTTAGTGTTACGGGGGTAGGTCAGCAGGCCAGGTTTTGTTTAATCTTCTGATGGGTGGTCCATCCCTGTAGAGGATTTCTATGAGGACGTTTGGATTACCTGTAATTCGTTGTTGGTAAGCGGCAGAGACAGTGGTGATTACGTCCGTGACATATGGAATTTGGAGGTCTTGATGGAGTATGAAGTTGCTAACGTACCATGGAGCGTTAACGATTGGTCGGAGTGTTTTGTTTTGGAACGCTTGGATTGGTTTTAAACGAGTGGGTTTGGCACAGCCCCAAAGCTGGATACCGTAAGACCAGATGGGTTTCACCATGGTTTTGTACAGCAGGAGTTTATTTCTGAGAGAATGTTTAGATTTACGTCCCATGAGCCAGTACATTTGTTTGATTTTGTGATCCAACTGCTTCCTTTTCGTTTGGATGTGTTTCTGCCACGTCAGTCGTTGGTCTAAATGGAGTCCTAAGTATTTTACTACAGTGTTTACAGGTATGGGAGAACCGTTGATTGATACGGCCGGACAGATTTCTCTGCGTTGGGTAAAAGTGACTTGAACTGATTTGGCTTGATTAATCTTGATTCGCCATTTGGAATACCATTCACTGAGCATGTCGAGTTGGGATTGCATGTTTACGGAGGAGGTAACCGGATCGTGGTCAGAGGAGAGAATAGCAACGTCATCCGCAAATGCCGCAACGGTTATGTTATGCAAGACGGGTAGGTCGGCAGTATATAATAGGTAAAGGAGCGGGCCGAGCACACTTCCCTGAGGGACCCCAGAATGTATAGGATAGTGGGGAGAAACAGAGCCATTGAGTTTAACAGAGAAGTTCCTATCAGTGAGGTAAGATTTCAGGAGAAGGTAATAGTTGCTACTAACCACATTTTTGAGCTTGTAGAGAAGACCTATGTGCCAAACTTTATCAAATGCTTGAGAGACATCCAAAAAGACCCCATTGCAGTATAGTTTTTCTTCTAAACTCTTGGAGATCTGATTCACTATGCGGTGGACTTGGTGGAGTGTTGACATACTTTCTCGAAAACTGATAATCAGGCAGTAAGGTTGTTAGGTCTTGGTCTGATTGAATTCGTTTAAGTATTAGTTTCTCAATTAGCTTAGACGGGATAGGAAGCAGGCTAATAGGTCTGAATGAAGATGTTTCATGTGGAGGTTTACCGGGTTTGTGCACCATGATGATTTCAGCGTGTTTCCATGCAGTAGGAAAGTAGCAGAGGCTTAGTATTCGATTGAAGATAGTCGTTAGGAGGACAAGAGCTTTGTGTGGCAGCTTTTTTAAGATTTGGCTCGTATCCCGGGGCTTTATGGTGTTTTAGTTTCGATAGGATTACTCGTAAAGGCTATTTTGTTTAATTATCTTAACCCGAATTATGAAAAGGGGATTAGAATTTTGGTATGTGTAGAGTATACAAAAAGCATTTCCAGCGTGTTTAAATTTCAAATACGTTCGGCCATTTCGTAAAATTGTGAGTTTTACTCCCTATGAGAAGATTGATTGGAATCGGATTTTCTGGGTAAATGAGTATTCAAATAGAAATAAATTTTATCCCTGCGAAAACCATAAGCCATACGGTAAGTTCGATTGAGCTAATCGGTGGAAATCGCATTTTGATTCATTTCGGGGTAATCATTTCAAATTTTGTAATTAACCATTACAATTGCTACTCCACTTTGGGGCTTAAAAGCCATTACAGGATTAATAACACCTACCCAACTCTCTAATAAGTTAAAGCATGCAGATCTAAATTTTGCATACGAATAAACTAAACTAAGCGGTATTTGTGTAGGTGACTTATAACATGGAAAATTCTGAATACTTACATGCAAAATTTTATTGTAAATCTAAAATTGAATCCTTTACAATTCAACAGGTTGTAAACAAATTGTAATTTATTCATGTAAACTAACAATCCTGATTTTAATAAAAATTACGGAAATCGTATTTCATCTCAAAAGCTGTCTGAAAAAATGTAAAAATGAGGGAAATTGTTTTTTTACTAAATCTTTTGTGTTTGGTAACAGTACAATCCAATTATGCCCTTGTATGAAAAGCTGGTGACTGAAATTGCGCATAAGGACCCGTTTCAGCTGAAACATTTCGAATTATGTAAATATGTATTGTTTCAGTGGTTTTAGTTTTTATCCCCTTTCTTTTTGTCCTGGCTTTAATGTGATACGCTTTTTAGGTTCATTAAACGAAAAAATCGTCCACAACGCGTTATGGTGTTTTTAGACAATACATATACCGCGCCACTTATATGAGGGGACATATGAGAGACAAGAAATTTAATGCAAAAACGGAATTTATTTTTCCTCATATGCACTATCAATGAGAAGTAGTTGCGCCACGGACAGGCAGACGGACATAGAAAATGGCAGCGATAGTGTAAATTAATAATGTACAATATGGAATTTTAAAATTTAGGCAAAGAATTAGAGCCAAGAGCTTCCAGGAACCCCCTGATGCTTGAGATTTTCTCCTCTCTGGCTTTTAAGAGTTTTGGTGGGCCTTTGAGAGCCTTTAAGAATCCTTAATAGACATTTAGTATTTATAAGAGCCTGTAAGATCATAGATGGAACTTTATGAGTCCCTTGTAGCGATGGAAGTGGGACATTGTGCTTCTTATAGTAGAGAATCAGAACCCATGAAATGTATGTTAAAATATAAGTCGCAAGTGGGTTGGATGAAAAATTCCTGGCCAAATCTGGAGACTCTAAATACCTTTACCTTTGTTTCTAAATGTTTAATGACTTTCATTAAAAGCGCAAAGCGTCACATAGAAATCCACCCCCAATGTGTTTATAAATCGAATACGGCAAAACGCGGGTAGTTATCACTTTCTAGTTAGTGCAGAAAAATACTGCTATACACAGAGCTGGACAGCATTCGATTTTGTAAACACTTTTTAGTATTTAAATCCTTTAAAGTATTCAAATACTTTGTAATTAAATAGGTACTTTTATGGAAGCAGTATTTGTATTTGTAACTCAAATACTTTCACAAATATTTAGTATTCGAATACTTCGCATAGTATTTGAATACTTAACCTTCCTTTTTTACCAAAAATCGACTACACCAAAATTTCTCGGGAAAACACTTGTTCTTATTAATTTTGGGGCGTAGAATCCAAAACAATTCGTCCTTTTTCGATTAGACTTCTCAATCAAAAGTTATAGACTATAGCGCGTTCGCACCTCCAAATTCAGTAT